AAATAATAACCATAAAGGAAGATATGAATTTCCAAATAATGCTTCTCTTGTTGAAATTCGAGATTTACTCACTTATGTTCATTATTTTCTATAGCATGCTAAACAACTCCATTAAATATAAGATTTAAAATGGAAGATTTTAACTAATATATGAATTGACCATAAAATTCTCAACTCAAAATAATATCAATAGATAGGGTAATTTCATATCACAAGTCATCATTACTACACAAATTTTTCACTGGATAGCACCTTAATCAATGATTTTTATAAAATTCATTTTAACTTCAATTAATCTAAAACTTTCCAGTAATACCCTTAACATAATTATGATCTCATATAAAAATTTTCATAATTTTTAAAATTTAATAGCTTGGTCAAAAACGAACAAACATAGGCAGCTGCAACATAAACTTTAAATAATCTTACTTTATAATCTTATTATATATATTTATATATATAAATTTATAATTTCTAACATGATAACATATCAAAAACACATATAAATACTCATAATTCTTAGATATACTTGATGATATTAAAGTTTGAAGACATACCTCTTCTACTCTTAAGAAAAGAAACTTGCTCCAAACACTTCTCGAAATTGCTCGGTTTCTCTCTCAAATACTCGATTCTCACTATTTCTCTCTTATAACATAAATTCTGAATTTTTGAGGTGTAATACTAACATTGAAGAATGCTCCTATTTATAGGAAAATTTTAGGGGACAAGCATCTCCAAATTTCAATTTAATATCATTTAAATACTAATTTCTACAACAAATATGCTAAAAAAATGCCCCACTCTTAATTTTTAATTTAGTTGACTAATATTATTAAATTTTTCAGCTCAATAATTTTATAAAATAACATAAAATTGATTCATCATTAATATAAAAATTAAGATGCTTCAAATGATGAAGATTCTACAAAATAAAATAATTTCCACAATTTATTTTCATTTTTATTTTTAATTTCGAATTTTCTAATAAAATCAGAAAATAATTTTCAAAAATTATTTTTAACTTATATTAATATCTCTCATAATATATAAATCATTTACAAATGATTTAATGAGGAAAAACATGCTTAAAATAACATAAACACTTTTATTTTTCTAATAATAGCATAAATGGTGAAAATTCACAATTAATTAAAATTATGCTATTCTTAATCTTTTAAAAAAATTCATAATAACTAAATTTTTATGTACCAATAATAAAATTTTCGGAATCAAATCGGACTTAAATTCCATTTACGATTGAAAACCGAAGATTTTATTATAATCTCTACTGTTCTCGATTATGAATTTTAACTTAATCTTGAAATACTTTACTTATTATCTATACTCAGTTAATTACTCTTACTGATTTACCTTATAACTTTTTACTGTGGTAAATAACTTTTACTACGGTAAATAAATTTTACTGCGGTAAATAAATTTTTACTGCGTTAAATAATTTTTACCGACTTACTAAAATATGGGGTATTACAGGTACTCTTGATCTGTCTGCTGGATTATTTCGAATTGGCGTGTCTTGTGTTGAATTCGTGCTTTGAATACTCTTGTCTGGCTATTGGATGTTGAGGATTTTGTTTCTCCTCTGAAATTTTTTGAAATTTCCGTCCCCATACTTCTCAAATTCTTCTTCTGGTTTTGGGATTGCTCTCTCCAAAAACCCTAATCTTCCTTCTTCCCTCTTTCTTCCTTGCGGCGGCTTCTTTTTGATATTGTTCTCTTTGTCTTTGTTTTGATTTTCTTTTCAGACTCTGAGACCTCCTCTGATTCGGTTGAAATACTACCCTCTGCGCTCGAAGTTGTCCCTCTCTCTAACCTTCG